TTTATTATTATTATTTCGTAAGTAATACAGCCGCCTTGTCAAAACAAGCCACATGTAGTGACAATACACAAACATGTACAGATAGCACACACACCCTAACTTCTGCTCTTCAACTTGCAACTCTGCGCGATAAGTGGGCGCGCAGTGGATTCTTCATTACAATGGTAAGTTCTTGCTTCTCAGAAAAATCAATATCATCTCCATCCACAGCCTTCCACTCAAAATTCAAGATCAAATTGGCCACAAAATATTCCAAATGAAGCATTGCTAAACCATAACCAGGGCAGATTCTCCTTCCAGCCCCAAAAGGCATCATCTTAATCTCTCTACTTCCTGTTATATCAAATGCTTCCCTTTCACTATTCAGAAACCTTTCAGGCTTGAATGCCATGGGATCCTCCCACGCCTTCGAGTCCCAACCTATATCAGCTACCATGAAATTTACAGTCCCATTTTTAGGAACCAAGAATCCACCCAGCATTGTATCTTCAGTCACAGCATGTGGCAACACCATACGTGCAGGAGGGTGCCTCCTTAACCCTTCTAAAATTATTGCTTTTAGATAAGGCATCTTTTGTAAATCGTCTTCTTTAACCACTTCCTCTCCTTCTCCAACAATCTCTTTGATTTCCAGGAGCAGCTTCTCTTGAATTTGTGGATACTTAACCAAATTTGCCATGATCCACTGCAAGGCTGTTGTGGTAGTATCCGTGCCGCCATTAAGGAACTCGTTGCATAAACTAACAATTTCGAGGTCATTAAGCTTTCGTTTCTCATCAGGAAGTTGCAGATCCAGCAGCGTATCAACACAAGACAAGACATACTCATCCTTATTCTCATCCATATTTAATTTTCTCAACCTCTGTTCCTTCAACTTCTTTCTTTCTCTTATCAATGGAAGGATTACATCTTCTCGGTCCTTGTGAAGCTGCAAGAACTCTGCCCATCGTTTACGAAGCACTATCTTGCTCAAACTTGGCCAGAAATTAAGTATATTGAATCTACTTATATTCACCAACATGCGACGCTGAACTTGTTCGACCTTTTGAATCTGTTTCTCCTCTAATTTGTCACCGAAACACATGAACACTAACAGACAAAACATAG